CAAATATAATAATTCTTATTTTGTATTCAACGTTAAAAATTTATTTATTCATGCAATGAAATATCCTAATATTATTATTCATAATTCGATATTAAACACAGATCACAAAATTGTCAAATAAAATAACTATAGCGGAATTGATCTGTTTCTCTAAAAATTACTTTTTACTCAATTACGATTTAAAATTTTACTTTTCTAAATTTTTTATCACAAATTTTAAATTATAAAACTGTTATCACAATAAAATGTTTGATCAAATCATTGATTCCATATAAGGCAATCATTTTCGAAACTCCCATCATAATTCTGTAATCACAAATTATACGATCAACATATACGCGTATTTAAAAAAACATATTTTGTACTTTATAGTAATAGTTTCTATTTTTTACTCAAATTCATAATCGTGTATAACACAAAATTATAGAAAAAACTACACTTCTAATTCATTTTGGCATATAAAAAATCTCTGCTTTTAAAAATCGCATAAAATTCCCTCCAAAATGCTATACTGCAGCGATTTTGATATAAATATCATAAAATATCAGTTTATATTATCAAATAGTAAAAAACTGCTTTGCATAAATATAATTTCAAAGTATAACAAAATTTTCAAATTCGTTTGCTATTTTATTTACATAAGTTTTAGCTTAGATGCCTTAAATATTAATCAATTCAAGCAGAAACTAGGAAATTTATGCTTAGAAATATATGTAAATACTTGAAAAGTTTTAAGTAAATAAGGTAAAAAGTAAGAAGGCAAAAATGCAAGCAAGAATTTGAAATTAAATTAGAATTTTGTTACAAAATGATTAAAATTCAAAAATAAATCAAATATTGTCAGCGTTTTCTTGTGCACACTTTTATTTACTTGATTAGATTTATTTCTTAAATTTTCTTTGTGAAGAAAATCATAACATTTATTTTTATTATAATAGTCATATCAATTTTTGAATTTAATGTACTCTTTGCATATTTAGGTATGTGCTCAAAATGTGAAAGTTGGTTTGCTTATCCATCCATGAAAGTAATTTCTTGAAAACTACTTTTATGGTCGATAGCAATAACTAAGCTAAAATATATCATTTCTTTAGTACTTAATTCAGCTAAAGAAATAAAATAACAATGCTTGTAATGTTATACGTATTACTTCATTTACTTATAGTTATTGAATGAAAAACATAAAATTCAGACGTACAATACAACGATATAAACACGCAAATACTGTAAAAAAAAGTGAAAATAAAACAAAGCAGAAGCAATTATAGCATAAAAATTTAAAACCGGCTAAAATGAAACGAATAATAATATGTACTGCATCTGTACTTGCATCTGTATTTAATGTTTATGCGAATATATTTATTCTATAAAAGTATACTTCCGTTTCATAAGTATACTCTAATCCAATCTTGCATATATATGTATATTATTATTATTCGTTTCATTACATACCTAAATATGCAATATATATATATATATATAAGCACAGATGAATATATATATAATAAACTTATTCAAAATAAAATCTGAAATATTGAGAACAAAAGTTCGTTAATAATTTTTCTGAATGAAGAATAATTTCCTTCAAGCTTCTACACAAAGCATAAAAAAATAATCAAGGAAAGCAAAGCTGAGATATAGACAAAAAAACAGAAATTCGTTTTTTTTGCACATAAGCGTAGCACCTTTTTAACGAAATGAATTTAATAATGTAAACGTAAATTCATTGCTGTGATTATTTATCTTTGTACGCACAAAAGAACAAACTCAGATTGATGATATATTTATTCTTTGCAGAATGATTTTGCATTTTGCTGAAAACAAAATTATTGCCTTCAGATTGGATTAGACTCTCCTCAATTAGTTTTTTTGAAAGATTGTTTACACTTGCTAACATTACAGGTCCCATTACAGCAATCAGGACTTAATTATAGGTTATTTAAATTAGCGATTTAGCATTTAGTTAATTACTTGCAAGACAGTTTGGTTTCGTCGAAATTTAATAGCAAAAAAAAGGGAAAAGAAAAATACATATGCAAAAGTTATTAAAAAATTTACTTGACAAAAAGGAAATTATCATAATAATATCATTGCTTGAGAAAGTATGATTTTCAAATTTAATTTAAAATTAAAAGCATAATTTATACCTGAAACTGAATTGAATATGCAAATTAATATGGCCTTTGTTATTAAGAGATTCTTTACTTGTAAGCAAGATTAGGAACTATCAGTATTACCAAGTTTCAACTACAAATTATATCCTTCATAAGCATGTCTTATCTGCATATTACTGCAATAATCCAAATGCAGTACTGATCTTATATCTATCTCATGCAAAAATTTCGCTCTGTATTGTATGTACTAGTAAAAAGGATCACATTTGCGTTATAAATTATTAAAACTTTCATTATTTTGCAATAAGCTCTAATAATTAAAGATATTTTCCACTATATTGTTTTTCAATGAATAAAAAATTTGAGTCTATATTCTACTCTGTTCTATTCCCAGTGAAAAAACTTGAATTTATTGAAATAATTTCAATTGTTTAAGTAAAAAAACTATTAATGCTGCATTAATTTGTGCTAAATTTGCAAGCATAAATCAAAAATTCATGCATGCAACCTTAATAACCAATTGAGTGCAAAATAATTATTAAAAATTTATTTGTTTCTCGACTTATGTTGCATTAATACATTTGCATTACTCTCTTGAGAACCTTTTCCAATTTTGCAGTCTTTTTTACTAATTCTGATATGCTAATAATAATAAATAGTTAGTAATGTTAACAAAATTGAGAGATATCTTATTCCCAAACGGTTTTAAATGACTGATTTTAAATGACTTGTGTACACATTTTCATACTTCATACTTGATTCAACATTTTAACAAAACAAAATTGTCAGTAATACTTTCTGACAAATTCAAAATGAAAATACAAAAGAGATTAGCATTACAGACAAAGGTCAAATGAAAACTTGAAAATGTTTCAAAAGCGTTATACACGCAAGCACATTAATTTGAATAATTGGTCTGTGTATCTATTAATATTATTGCATGCAAATCAGTTTCATACAATTAATCTTCCCAAAAGCTAAACTATAAGCTGACAAAAAGAAACAAACAAAACTTGAGCAAAAACTTATTTGGCTATCGTTTGCTAACAAAAAGCAGAACTTTCTTCCGGAAAATTGTATAGGCAACATAAAATTGTACTAAAAATTCTAATTTAAATAATACTTAGAAATGGCTAAAGCTATCATCATCAATTATTCAATACCTTCTCCATGTGCTTTGCAAAAACAAGGCACACATAAAAGCAGAAAATTTAAATTTTCAAATATTTGTATCATTTTAATTTATTTGGATTAATATTTCTGTTCTCTTATTTGGTGTAATGTTTAGAAAAGAAATTATGGAGTAACAACGAGGTCATCAAGGATCATATTATACCAATCAAATCGAAATCAGTGATGATAACATGCGTCATGCAGTACTTTCTTATCATCGTAACTTTTGCTATGGGTAAGCTGATTGAAGCTTTCTCTGCGCGTTTTTCTTTCTATTGAAATGTGCATAAAATAATTAATGCTGTCGTTAGCATTCAATCATTATCACTATTGTTATCGAGAATAAAAAAGAAGTTTGGACTGATTTAGAATGTTAAATTCAGAAATTTGTAACAATATTATCTTGTTGAAAAGTTATTTTATATTTGATACTTCAGTGAATAGCAGATCAATTCGAATCAGACGTCAAGCATTCCCACCAAATCCAGCACCATTTCAACCTCGAATTGAAGATTACAACCTTCCACCTTTTTATCAGGTCTATTTTTTACCATTTTATACATAAGTTAGTTTAGGTTCTTAAGAATTACAGAACTGTACAGAGTAAAAGAAGTGACAGAGTAATCACCGAATATAAAATAACAAACTTCAAAGCGGTTACTGTAATAAAAACTTAATTTATTTTCGCAGTAACTTTTATAACTATTCAGATCTGAAAGTGAAAACGTTATATTTAGCCCTTCCCAGGACGAGATGCATCATCATTATCACCGATATTCCCATTCACATCACAATTCAGCGAAGGCTTAGATGTAAATCCTGGAACTCGATTAACCGTTGATGGAAATATCAATATACCCATATTTGGCTGGGGTATATGGGATTACAAAGGTTTTTACTTATTACTTACTCTATGTACTTAATGATATACTAGTCAAAAAATAATAAAGTGCTAACTTTGACTATTTAAAAAATTGTTAGACACAGGAAATAGTGAACCATATAATCAAATCAATGAGCTACATAATCATGAGACACTAGTGAGAAGATAAAAAACCTAAGCAATCTTTCATATTTCAATAGTCTCATGCTGACGAGATCCATGTTGTTAATCACTAGAGCTAGAGATAGAATATACTAGCTGAAAAAAAATAAATGACTTATGGAGCAATAATCAAAATGAAAGGTGAACTTCAGGCGGGCTTAAAGTAGGCAGACCAAATACTCGAGTTGGCTTTGGAACGCTGAATCGTCCAACTAATGTACTCGGAATAAGCCCAGAAACTTTGGCTACGCTTGGTACTGATCCATTTTTCAATGAAGCACGTAGTAAGTACTTCTTCAGATCTCAAAAAAAAGTATGCTAATGCAATATTACCACGTAATACCAGATAACTCATAACTCAATATCAAATAATTCAAGCCACTGACAACACTCCGAATTATCACACTAACTAATTAAGCAACATTTTTTCCTGTGTAAAACTTAAAAGTACTAAATCGAAACCAAGAAAAAAAGACAGATAAAAGGTAGTAATGTACAAATAATCCACTTGTACTAGCAAAATGATGTATTCAAAATCTTTCGTTTCCTTTTATTGAAATTTAAATTCTGGTTTATTAATATCCTTTTGAAAAGTAATATGCACCAATTACAGCTCAGATACCTTCGATACCAGTTGCAGTACTACCTGGTAATTTTGTTCCACTTCGATGCAAACCACCTTTTTGCAATCCGTTTTTACACAACTTTGCATGGGGTGTAGATGTTGAACCAGGCGACGATTACCTCTTTGATGGAGGTAATTCTTTAGTACTTAAGCTCCTAGCTGTATAGAATTTGAAAAGAAATACACTACAATAATATCAAAATCAAGCAAACTTATCAACATCCTTATTTTAGGTATTGATTTTCCCATACCACTCGCTCCAGGAGGCGTAGGAATCCGATTTCCATTGAACGGAGCAGTCAACGTAGGTTCAGACCCCTTCCTCCTCACATATGGCCATGGGCTGGGTCCCGCAGAACCACCAAATTTCCAAAGCAAAACTAGCTTTGAGTCATCGTCTCAACAAGAGAACTGATTAGTTCTTCATATCGATTCTTTTTCACATCAGTACTGCGTTAAATAAATCATTAAAAAAAAGCAATTCCACCGAGAATATCCATGCACCAATTTACCTTTCCAGTACTGGTAGTTTGCTAAAAATAACTTTACGTTGATAAGTAAATCAATATCCAACTTTCGAATAAGTCTCGCCAAAAATCTCACTCTCAAGACAGCAGTCAGTACAGTCAGTTAGTAACTAGTATTTACAGAAAGTATAGCCATCGTTGGATTCTTCAAAAGTTACTTAAAAAAGAATGAAATAGAGATTCCTGCATGCAAGTATAAGTTTCACTGACTATGGTCACAAAAATTTAACAGCCGTGACTAACAGCCAGTAATGACTGACCACTGCATGTAAACAATGACAGAAAAAATCCAATCTTATTAGTTCATTCATCCCCGTACTTTGTTTTTCTCTATGATAGAGTTTACTCTCACGTCTTACTTACTAACAGCTTAGGAAGGGATAACTTTCAAATAGATAATAGATACCTTTTACTAATAGGAAACGCTCATACAGCACATCAACAAGGAAAGCGACAAAATGAGGAACAGTAAAAGTGAAAGATATCTATTTGAACGGTTCGATAATCTAGAAAGTAATAATCACTTCGTAATTCTGGAAGTTCATTCATTGAAGTGCATGGATTATGATTCCACTCATTTCTTCTCTCCCTTCAATGTGGCTGAAAGTCCCTCGGCCCCTTCCTGTAGAACCGCCTTCTGAACAGCTCAAATCTGATATTTTGGATTTCAGGCGCATATCCGAATTCATAATTTTTTATTTTACTTTCATACATGCTTAGTAAGCTCAGATTTTCATGACGCTGCGTTTAAGAGCAAGTGCGAGAGTAGAAATGCCTCGCATGCATATGTTGGCCTCTATGAAATTTTTCCATCAAGCGTTTCATCGTCCAAATATAGCTCTATAAGGGCTTGCAGAATCCAACTGCTTCCGTTTTAGAACGGTAATTGCAAGCACAAATTTCTCAGAATACAAGAAACGACACAAGAATCATCTCATCACATCCTCTTGGCATTCTCCCGATAGGGTCAAGGGCCGTTTTCAGTACCTCTCCTGACCACTTAGCATGTGCAATGTGCAATCTCGATTCCACGAATACTTCGAGCGTAACTATCCTGCTGTTGCCTTGCTCCATCACTCCGGCGGAATTTTTTCTCCCACCCTTCACAGAGCCTTCTGCGACCTCAATGATTACTCGTTTTTTTCTGTTGTGATCCGACATTTCATTTTTTCTCGCTTATCCTCCATTTCCTTGTCAGGCTTATATCCAGATCCAGAACTAACATGACAGTATACTCATATATATGAATTAACATGACAATATACCAATCCAATACCCGTAAATATGCATAAGCAATTACACTTACATTTATACATATACGCACAAATACGCCTGCGGAACAAGGATGCATGCAAATACGCTTATCGGCGAGCGAAGATGGCAATTGTAAATGTGCACATGAACCCACATGCAAACACATCTACAAATGCATGTTCGAACAAAACATTTTTTTTAAAAATCATAATCTCAAGAGCTACCATTTCAATTATTTTAAGTACATAATTTTTTCTGATCTATTTGCTTTAAGCTTAATTAAAGTTCAGCTTTAAAATACGAAAACTTGAAAAAATAAGCCGAAAAATTTTATAATTTCGTGACCAATTACTGTTTTTATGGTAATTACGCGCTTTTCTGCTTCAATTATAAATCGAAAACGAAAAGGGAAAGTATTTGGCGTGAAATTTTTACTTTTTAGCAACAAAATGTTTATTTTTTAATGAAAAAAGTAAAAATTTCTTTTAAAAAAGAATTTAATAAAATTCAAAATTTACAGCATGAAATGCTTCGCAGAATATTTTTGGGCAAATGTTTTTAATTTATAAACAGAGCAATTTGCATATTTGTTGTCAAAAAAGTACTGAAAATGTTTGCGTGCGATCATTTTTTTTGAATATAATAATTCTTATTTTGTGTTCAACGTTAAAAATTTATTTATTCATGCAATGAAATATCCTAATATTATTATTCATAATTCGATATTAAACAGTGACAATTTAAATTTAAAGTACAAATGAATAAATTTTAAAGTGCAACTCAACTGATTTGATTTAATGCTTGTATACGCTACGCTAGGATATACTTTATGTAGACAAACATTTACAAATAACGTGAACTTGACAACGTCATCACGCTGATGCTCTTCTAGACGTCTGCGTTTTCTCAGTGTCCACTTTCAACGCAGTGGATGTTGCTTCAATTTTTCTTTGTACATGAAAAGAAATAAGAGACAAAAAGAGGACACTTAAGAGAAGAGAAAGAGAATGTTAAAGTCTAAGAAACACTGTTTAACTAGTTGCCAGAGAGAAAAAAGTTGTGTACAGCGCGTAAAATCATATTGATTTGGTGGGAAAGACAGACAAATAGAGGAAATGTTGGGTAAAAATTTTAGAAGATATTATGGTATGTGAAGTGACAAGGATTCAGGTCGTTATCACGATATCTGGGCACTTTATGGCTATATACGTGTTATTGTCTAGTGTGGTATCTCAGAGTGGTCACGTTTTCGCTTAAAAGCCAAGTATTTTTCTGTAAAAGGCTTAAAATTGATTAAGATTCGAGTTTTTTATTACGTTTCAGAACATCACGTGTGGTGGCATTATTGGAAATGGCTGCTTGCGAAGTTAGTGAGGAATTAGAAGAGAAGATAAAAGCACAAGGAGAAATTGTCCGGAAGCTTAAAAGCTGCAACCTGTCATCTTCACAAGTATGTTATTTATGTCTTCATACTATATAAGTTACCTTTTTTTTGTAGCAATTGCCCAATTCACTACTGAAAAGTTATATTCAAAATTTGTTAATGAAGTCATACTTGATTGAAAGTGAGCAAATTTGATTCTTAAATGTGTTAATTTTATTGGCATTTATTTCTTTGATAAATTTGTTATTGCATCTTATCGCATGTGATGTATTTAGATTGCAAAGTACGCCACAAAAGTTTGTTTTGTGCTGTTATAGGAAGAAAAGCAAGCAGCTATTGAAAAATTGTTAGAATTGAAAGCAAAATATAAAGAGTTGACAGGAGACGCTTATAAAACAGATCAACAAGGAAAGCAGCAAAAAAAAGGAACAGTAAAAGTAAAAAATATCTATTTGAAAGATAAATAAATGATTTGTGTAAAAACAGTTGGTAGATTTTCATCTTTTTCAGAATTCTCTAAGTGAGTGCGTTCAAGGAGATACCAAAAAGCAGACGAAATTAGGTGTGGGAGTGGGCAAAAGCCAAAACTGTTCTGAGTGGTATGCTCAGGTAATAAAATTTTATGCCAGAACTTTTTTTTATTTAGTTGAAATTGCTGCAGTAATCGAGTGCTTTTTGTAAGTGCAAATAAATGATTTTTGAGATTAAGTATGGAAGCATTACTTCATTAGTGATTGAAAGTTATTTGCACTAGTTATGTAGAAATTTACCTTTGTTATTTAAAAATAATTCTTATCTCTTCCCTCATTGCTAGAAACATTTTAGATATTTTATTTAAAGCACTGGTACTGGTAAAAAGTTACAAAAGAATTAATACAGAATGATTTAGGTTATTACAAAAGCAGAAATGATTGAATATTATGATGTTTCGGGCTGTTATGTCTTAAGACCATGGTCTTATGCCATCTGGGAATTTATTCAAGAATGGTTCAGCAAGCAGATTAAAAAATTAGGTGTTGAAAATTGCTACTTTCCAATTTTCGTCTCGCAAAATGCATTAGAAAAGGAAAAAACGCACATTAATGATTTCGCACCCGAGGTAATTGACAAAAATTCATAATTTCTTCTTCGCTCTTGATTTTAAAATATTTTAGTACTTCTGTCCTTATAATGCTTCAATGCTTGTCTTCAGAATGCTTTTATAGGTGGCTTGGGTGACACGAGCAGGTCAATCAGATTTAGCTGAACCAGTTGCTATTCGTCCAACTAGTGAAACGGTCATGTATCCAAGTTATAGCAAATGGATCCAATCCCATCGAGATCTTCCGTTGAAACTCAATCAGTGGTGCAATGTTGTTGTATGTTTTATACATCTTCCAGTTCTTTTTGTATAGGAAAGCGTTTTTCATGCCAACACTGGAATTAGTAATTCTACTTAAAAATTTTTATGTATTTCTGGTCTTTGTATTCTGTAATTCTGAAATTTAAAATACAATTTGTTTATTTTATTACTGTTGGCAAAAAGCTTTTCAGCGGTGGGAATTTAAACACCCAACACCGTTTTTAAGAACTCGGGAGTTCCTTTGGCAAGAGGGTCATACTGCATTTCAAAATAAGGCTGAAGCAGAAAAAGAAGTCTTCCAAATACTTGATTTATATGCTCAAATATACACTGACCTGTTGGCTATACCTGTCATTAAAGGACGGAAGACAGAAAAGGAGAAGTTTGCTGGTGGCGACTTTACAACCACTGTTGAAGCATATGTGCCGATTAATGGACGTGGGATTCAGGTTATTAATGTTCACTTCTTTTTTTTTTCAATTTTTTGATTATTTTTAACAGTGTAGATTAATAGTATAAGCCGTATACATTGATTATTCTAAATAGAGCTTTAATTCGAATTGGTCTTATGCCTGTTTTATATTTTATGTCTTATTGATGAATGTCGGTAATTTTTTAGGGTGCTACGTCTCATCATTTAGGACAAAATTTTTCAAAAATGTTTGATATATCGTTTGAAAATCCAGATGGTAGTGGTAAGGCTTATGCTTGGCAGAATAGTTGGGGTATATCTACTCGTACAATTGGTGCTGTTGTGATGATACATGGGGATGATAGTGGCTTAGTACTTCCTCCTAGGATAGCAGCCATTCAGGTATTCTTTTTCAGAATATTATAATTTGCAGTACTGGTTTTAAGATGGGGAGTATTTTTGTTGTTACATTCATTATATCTAATTTTACAGATAATCATTGTGCCCGTTGGGATCACTTCTCAGACAAAAAATGAACAAAAAACAACTTTAATCCAGAAAGCAAAAGAAATAAAGGACATCATATCAAATGCTGGAATAAGAACGGAGCTTGATGCAAGAGATCATATATCTCCGGGCTGGAAATTTAATCACTGGGAATTGAAGGGTGTTCCTATAAGAATTGAAATTGGTCCTCGCGACTTAGCCAATAATCAGGTATCAGTACATATGTATCATTTTTATGCATGTGACAGACACATTGTGTTTTATTGCATTTTTTAAGGTGACTTGTGTTATCAGACATTCTGGTGATAAAAGAACTGTCTCCTTTAATGGCCTTGCTTGCAAGTGTAATGAAATGCTAGATGAAATACACAATGGCATGTATAATAGGTAAGAGGTTTTCACGATGTTGTTTAATAATTTTGGAGAAAATATTTCTGATATGAGTTATAATTATTTTTAGGGCACTAGAAGCTCGTGAGTCGCACAAAAAAATTGTTCTTGAGTGGGATGAATTTCGAATACTCTTAGATAAAAACTACATCTTGCTTTCACCATTCTGTGGCCGTATTGAATGTGAGGATAGAATCAAGAAGGAGAGTGCTCGTGATGAGGAATGTGAACCTGGTGCTTCATCAATGGGAGCAAAAACACTTTGCATTCCACTTGAACAGGTGACGAGTAAATTTAAAATTGTGTAGTTTATTGTAGTTTGCAGAGATTATTAATTAGTAAAACCGATATTATATGTGGGGGTTTCAGCACTCTGAACAAGAATATGAGTGCTTAATTATATGTCATGATTTCAGTGAACTGTGAGATGAAGTGACAAAAAATTAAAATTGATATGTATATCTTTGGAATCAGTTGAATTTTGTCGTTAAATAACTTTTTGAACTTCATTTATGAAAGCTTATTTCAGCCAGAACTCTCTCTTCCAAATAAATGCATCAACACAAACTGCTCTGAAACACCAAAATTTTTTGCATTGTTTGGGAGAAGTTATTAAACGAATGATATTTTTTGATGGTGGATTGAGCAAGGGTAAACTCGTATTTCATATAACTTGGATTAGATATGGTGAAAATTTTGTTACCATTCCGATAAATATTAATTGTTGGCATTTATGTTCGCTAATTCATCATTGTTGTACATCTTTTATGGGCAAAGAGGTGTAAAGGATTTTGATATTTATTTTTTGAAGTTTATATTATCGTTTTGTCCTAAATTATGTGAATTATATGGTATCTAATGATGGTGAAGCAATGTAATAATAAAGTTTTGTTGCGATCGCCTTTAATTATGTTACTCGTATACTTTGTCGTATATTATATTGAATTAGTGTAGAAGTTAATAGGGCGCACTACCAAGTTTCGGAGCATTGATAAAAGTGTGGATTCCAGAATTTTTAGAGGTTTGATGTCTGAATTGGATTCTGATTTTGATGAGGAAGCTCACTCAAAACTCATAGACACTATAAACAATTTGGGGCGGGGTTCCAAACAGAGTTTATCGAACAAACAATGCGGGACGAAGGTCGATGTTCGAACGCTAGTGAATCTTATTCATTCCACGAAGTTGTTTCATTTTTATAATTGATATTTAGTGCTCCGTCTTTTTTTTTTTTTTT